CCCGCCCCGGGGAAGGGGGTGGGGGGGTGGCAGGAGCGGGGCGGGAGGAGCCGTCCCCCGTCCCCCCGCCGCCGCCCCGTCCCGTCCCGCAGCCGCCGGGCCGGTGAGTGGGGCGGGAGGCGGCGGGCAGGAAGGGGTTAAGGCGGTCCCCAGCTGACAGTCAGCTGATGGGGCCCTGATTGACAGCTCCGAAAAGTTTCCTTGTTTCTATACTATTATGCTAATGAGGGCTGGGATGGCGGCCGCCCATTGGTCCGCCCGCCGAGTCAATTTCCCATTTGACGTCAGGAGCGCTATAAAACTCAGCAATGCTTTTAAACTCTCCTGCTGGATGAAACCTTTAAAATATTTTTCATCTTCTCGCTGTAGCTTTGGGGTCGAGTTTGTTTGTTTTTTTTTTTTCCTTTTTACCTCTCTCTCTCTTTTTTTTTTTTTTAACTTTTTTTATTATTTTTTTTGCGATATCGACTTTGATTTTTTTTTTTTTTTTTTTCCTTTTTACCTCTCTCTCTCTTTTTTTTTTTTAACTATTATTATTATTTTGGTTGCGATATCGACTTTGATTTTTTTTTTTTTTTTTTTTGCCTTCGCTCTCTTTTCCCTCCTCCCTTCCCCGATGAACCTCTCTCCTCGCTCTGCACTTTGCAGGAGGAAGCCCAGAGGAAAGGCACCATGAAGTGTTAAAAAAATAACAAAACCAACCCAACAACAAAATTTCCTCGCAACACCAACACTTCCAGCTGCAGTTCGCAGAGAGAGAGAGGAGAGAAGGGAGGGAGAAAGGAGGAAAAAAAAAAAAAGAGAGAAAGAAAGGAGAGAAAAAAAAAAAAAGCCATTACCACCACCCTTTATGCAAAAGGCGAATTGCAAGAGCCCCTCGCTCTGATGCATCAGCGGCAGCGGAGACTCTGCGAAGGATAACGCGGAGCGGCGGCCGCCGGGGCGGATCGGAGCGGAGGCTGCGCGGGCGAGAGGCAGAGGCGGGAGAGCGCGGAGCGGAGCTCGCCCCCCAAAAATCAAGCTGGCTCACCCGGTGGCAACTCAGAGCAGTCCCCTCGCTCCCGGAGCGCACCCTTTCTGGAGGACTGTCAGCAGCAAAAGGATGGCATCAGAACTGGCAATGAGCAGCTCCG